ATATTTGCAAATGCAAAAATGCAGCCAAATTGGGAAATTTTATACCCGTGAAATATATAGTGTATACGGTAGCTTTGGTATAACAATAGTCAACACCAGTGTAAGTATTATGTGAGACGTTACTTCATACATAACATTGCAAATTGTCATTATTACTTACATCATCAATAAAAATCAACTCTTGCTTTTATGAAGTAGAATACATAGTTCTAATTCATTGAGTATACATAATACGTAAGGCATAAGGTATTATGTTATATATGTACATGTGGTCCTGGTTTAATTAATTATTTTACTCAATCAGTCTAGACCTAATTATGCTTATTTTAAGTGACAAGTCTTGTATCAAGAGATGATATAGAATGATTGTTGGAGTTCAGTAATGGGGATTTTATCAACGACTGTTAGTGAGGTAATCCAATTGGGGAAAAGGTAATGTATATATAGATTGGTAAAGGGTAATCTATATATTGAAGCTACAACTGAACTACTGCATTTATAATTATTATTTTGGAATTAAAATTGTTACTCTATTGTTAATATCTTACTTTTTGTTTCAGGTTTCCTGAGTATACAGCTCTGGCACTTCCATCAAGTGACAGTTATTATTACTCTCTATGCTCTAGCCTCTAGCTGTTATAGCAGCTGGTAGATCTTGTGGGAGGAGTTAGATTATTAGATCATAATCATAGATATTAGAGTAAATGAATAAATAATTTCATTTACTCTAATATCTATGTCATAATTCATAGATTATGCAAACACCATGTGTCACATGTTTATAAGCAATCGAATAATTAACAATACGTAATTAGCAGTGTCTTTGATCATATGTACATTGTAGATCTCCCAAATTGTTGTTTTTAAACTATGTCCCATTAAGTTGTTGGTACAAGTGACTTTTGATGTCAGTAGATCTAATGGAGGACAAAAGCTATAAAAGTGATAGCATATCATTTGTAAATTTGACTCTTTCTTTCAATGATAAGTACTTAATTTTTGCAATGATGTCTATGCAGCATCAGTTTCTTTTGCTCTTTATTAGTGTCCTTGGTTTTATGGCTACAACTGGTAAGAATCAACTACCTATACACTGTATGCAAACACACACACACATACACCGTGGCACACACACACACACACACACACACACACACACACACACTTTTATAATTTATGTTGCTACATACACCACAGGTAGTGCAGCCTCTTGTGGTAATAATGGCCCCTTTAAATGCCTTGGTGCAACAAAAGATGTCTGGATAGAGAGTGGTTACGGTAACTACAATAGCTACAGGTTCTTGATATTCGGGAAGCATGTGTATTATCCAAAGAAAAGGCTTCTCATTCAATTTGATGACATTCCTTCCAGCTGTGGGAAAGTGGTATGGGCTAAATTATACTTGAAATATTATTACTCACACAAACCGAGCTGGGTGAATGCAAAAGACATTCATAGGACAGTTCAAGTACATCAGGTAAGAAAGACTGAGCATAATAATATAAATTAAACATTTATAATACAGATAAAGAAGGACTGGAGTGAGACACAGGCGACAAGTATTTACCGCAAATCAGGAGTTAAATGGAGCAAAACTTATCTTGCTTTGGATGGTAGTGATGCTAATGCTGATTCTATAGATACTGCTACATTCCCTCCCGCTAAACCATGGCTTGAGTTGGAAATCACTGAAGCAGCTAGAAACTGGAAGAATGGAGAGAAAAATTATGGAGTTGTTATTTGGGCAACAAATGAGAATGATGATGGACGAGACATTCGTTTCTTCAGCCGTGAATATTGGTACAGTACTTACAGGCCACGGCTTTACCTTCTCTGCAATTGAACTGTTTTTTAGATTCCAGCAATGAGTACTTTAGTTAGATAGTTGCGATGCAATTTTTTTTAGTAATTGTATGCATAGATGAGACTTTTCTTATATAAAGTATTTGGATTTAACAATAATAGATCTATAGCTGTGAGATGGTTTAGGGTTTAATAATGATAATCTCATGGATCTCATATACACATATGCAACATTGAATTATTGTGAATACCTTTGTGATGTGGAAATATTTATTAAAAAGTGTAAAGACAATTATGCATGCAAAAATAATGAGCAATAATTACAATTGCAGGAAATTGTACAATGTTAAAAAATTAGGACATGAATTTCTACATCATTATTTGTCCATATGCAGCATTATTGTGTACATCAATTGATCTCTGATAAGCAGTATTAGTGTGTACATTGATGTTAATATCTGTCTCCATTGGTGTATCATATATTGGTACCGGTACTGTAGTAGTTGGTTTATCAATGATCTCAAGATATGTGGGAGCAGCTTCAACAGTACTGTACCTGATAAAGTATTAATAATAATGATAACAATACTCGTGCATATCAAATTAAACGTTTTACTTACATTGTTGCTTCTGCATTATTTCTACCTGTACATTAATAATGATACATTAAATACAAGTCAAATATAATTATTCTTACTTTTTCGTTTTTTGATAGCCAAAATTACTAATAGTGTGATAATGATCGTTATTATTATAATTAATAAGATCACTCCAACAGCTCCTGATATAATAAAAACAGTACTATTAACAGCTGAATGTGCTGTTGATGAATAATGTGCTATTGAACTAGATCTAGTGTGGGCTTTGTTGGCTGTTACTGAATTACCATTAGTAGCACTGGTAGTTGTAGGGATTGTATTACTAATAGCAGTTGAATGTGCTTTTGATGAATGATGTGTAGTTAATGAATAATGTGCTTTTGAACTAGAGGCTGTGATTGTTATTAAAACACCATTAGATGTCATTGTTGATGTACTATGAACTGATGTTGATCTTTTAGTAAGATTAACTGTATCTATAATAAGGAACAAATAGAGCATGACTAAATTATGTAATATTTACTATAGTAAAATGTTCAAGTGATAAGATGATTTAATTAACAACAATGGATAATTACTGACCTAATGATGAAGCAATAGAACTTACTGATGAAGAAGTACTACTCACATCTGATGTTTTATTCACTACCATAAATCTGGAATATTTCAAGTGATGGTAATTTTTGTACAGCAATGAGGCATGCTAAATTTAGAATTGCTAATATTTCCTATTCACCTATTAATTATAATGGGCTGAGTAGGCAGCATATAAATTTTTCCAGCACCTAAATTTTCTATTCTGTATTTTATAACCATTGAAAATAACCAGATTTACCGTATAATGAAAATGTACATTATTGTGATAAAGGGCTATGTCTGCTGCACCAATAACATAAAATTGTGTATATAAGCTTACATAGTTTGAATTCCTTTGTCTTGACTGTCAAACCTTGCTTAGTTTTAAAAACAAGTTGTCCAACATAAGCATTTTCACTCAACAGCTCATTAATCCTGTATGAACCACTGAGAACATTCCCAGTCAATGTACCATCACGAATGACACTTTGATTAGAATGATAAGTGACAATGTTACCATACACATTCCTTGTTACTGCATGTACTGTAACTGGTATTTGTTCTGTACAGTTGTAACTAATCTGCAAAAATTAATGTGTCAAAGATTATTAAGCATTATACAATCATTCATTACCTCATAAAATACTTCAATGGTAAATGTGTCATTTTTAATAGTTCTTGTGTAGTTTTTAAAACGAACTTCTGGAGCTAAAATGTACCAATAATATCAAGTCATCATTATAATTGAAATACCTCCTATATGAGTATATTCCAGTGATGCTGCCTGTCCTTCTCCAACAGCATTTACTGCTCTAATAGTTGCAGTGTAGTTTCCACAGGCAGTCCCATTTAAGTACAGTGTTGTTGAATTGGTTATAATCGCAGGGAAAATGTTAGTATCAGAATTGATGTTGATCCTGTAATGTAATATTGGGACTCCTGAGAGTGTAAATGGAGGCCTCCATGATAACTGTTGATTGATTCTGTCATAATTGAGATTATTAACAGCATTTAACAGACCTGGAAGAAAGAATATATGAGGAATAAAAATGAATAGAAAAGTGATGCAAAATAAAGGGAAAATAATGTTTATTGTACATAGCATTTTCTAGAAAATCTATACCTTGAACTCTAAGCCTAACAGGATCAGAAATAAAACTCTGTGGTGCAAAAACAGTTGATGTTATCATAGCAAAATTTCTAGAGTTAGTCGAAACAAATAAAGTTGAGCGAATACTGTTGCCATTCAAGATTTGCTGACTGACAGATACCCCCCTGATAATATTGTTGCCATTAAAAACCCTAAAATTATCGACAGTCCAAGTGATTATAGGCAGTGGATTCCTGCAAACAACCACACTAAACTGAGCAGTAGTTCCTTGACTGACATTGAGAGAGGATGGTTGAACAATATAAGGACAGCAAAGAGCAAAGGAGAAGAAAGAAAGCAAAACAACTGCCTTGAGGTACATGATCTAAACACACTACACAACTTTAATTCTAATACTGGTACTATTACTAATTAGCAGCTAGATTATATATCTAGTGGAGAGTATCAGTATAAGTACAGGATTTGATAACATCCTGTGGCTGATCTCACTGCAGTGTTTCCTATTCAGATGTGAACACAATTAACAAGAACTGTTTGACAGCACAATAGAGTCCATACATATACAATAGCCACAGGATAGGGAGTCATTTCCATGAACCAAGCAATACTAGACTAGCTATATGTTTTCAGTTAAGTCAATTAAACCTTTAACCTCCCTTCATTTCAGTAGGATTTGGAATGCAACCAAAAAAGGCACTGAATGTATATTTCAATTAAAAATGTAAACATTGCATGTAATAGCTTGTGATTATAATTGAGGTTTTATAGTTAATGTTCTAACACCATTATCATTAAAATAATTATTACCATTGAATTACTAAATACAAAAATGATTAAAAATATAATTCTCTGCTGTCTATTTACATTGTTACTTGTCCATAGGCAGCATTATTTTGTACATCAATTATATCTTTATTAACTGTTGATCTCTGATAAGCAGTATTAGTGTGTACATTGATGTTAATATCTGTCTCCATTGGTGTATCATATATTGGTACTGGCACTGTAGTAGTTGGTTTGTCAATGATCTCATCATATGTGGGAGTAGCCCCATCAGTACTGTACCTGTGTGTTATATTCATATTAAGAACATTATGCACTACGTTAATGCTTCTTATCAATATGCACAACAATAAACTAAGTAGTCTATCGTATGTTTTCAAAAATTGGCCGCTTTAAAAATGCTCGTAAGTCAAGAAATTGAAGTCGGAATGAGCTCAAATTATCTACACAGCATAAGTACATCAATATGTATCAGAAAATGTAATAAAAATTTGTTGTGATTTCGGAGCCATTTTTGGATAAAACCATGGGCTATAGGCTATAGCCTTGGGTGTTTTTCAAAAATTGGCCATTTTAAAAAATCGTCATAACTCAAAAAATTGAAATCGGAATCAGCTCAAACTTTCTACACAGCATAAGGACATCAATATGCATCAAAAACTGTAATAAAAATTTGGGGTGATTTTGGAGCCATTTTTCAGAAAAAACCATGGGCTATAGCCTTGGGTATTTTTTCAAAAATTAGCAGTTTTTAAAAAATGGTCATAACTCGAAAAATTGAAGTCAGAATCAGCTCAAACTTTCTGCACAGCATAAGTACATCAATATGCATCAAAAACTGTAATAAAAATTTGGGGTGATTTTGGAGCCATTTTTCAGAAAAAACCATACAAAAAAATTATTGTATTGGCCCAGTGTTTATGATCCTGATGTTGCACTGTCCGATGGTCACATAACAAATTACTAACTAAATTATTTATTTATTTAATTATTATAAATTTATTACTATGATTTGACTGTATATCTATCTCTGTATCTCTCTTATTATTTCAAAAAAAATTTTATTTATTTAAAAAATGGGCTATAGCCTTGGGTATTTTTTCAAAAATTGGCGGTTTTTAAAAAATGGTCATAACTCAAAAAATTGAAGTCGGAATCAGCTCAAACTTTCTACACAGCATAAGGACATCAATATGCATCAAAAACTGTAATAAAAATTTGAGGTGATTTTGGAGCCATTTTTCAGAAAAAACCATGGGCTATAGCCTTGGATATTTTTTTAAAAATTGGCCATTTTAAAAAAATGGTCATAAATTTAAAAATTGAAGTCCAAATCAGTTGAAACTTTCTACACAACATAAAGACATCAATATGCATCAGAAAATATAATAGAAGTTTGGAATAATTTCAGAGCCATTTGGTCATATTAGAAAATTTTCATGATATAAAATTTTGAAGTTGGAATCAACTCAAACTTTTTATATGGCATGCATACATCAATATGTATTGGAAATTGCAATAGCTTACTTATATACTTACATTTTCAATTCTACACTATTGTTAGATTTACCTGTATAATAACATTATATTTATTACAAGTTAATAGATTCTTACTTCTTTGTCTTTTAATTACCAGTATTATTATCAGTATAATAATAATAATAATGATTATAATTAATAATACTGTTCCAACAGCTCCTGATACAATAGGAACAACACTAGAGCCACTAATACTTGTACTGGGCCTTGGGATCATAGTTGATGATGTCACTACTGATGCACCTCCAGTAACACTAATAGTTAATGTACCAGTAGCAGTGGGTACTGATACTATTAATGAATATATTAATTATCTATGTACTTTGATATCATTACTTACTTGACATAGATGTTATAAGCAATGATGATGCACCAGTACTTATATCTTTAATTAATGTAACTAATAGTATAATCATAATGAATAAATAATAAATAAATACAGTCATAATGCACTAATACCTAATGATGATGATGATGGTACATAACTACTGGTCATTGTAGGAGCAATAGCTACATTGACTATATACATTAAAAATTCAATGATGATTGCTGCATAATAATATATTGTACCATTAACAGTAGCTGATGGTCCATATCCAATAACATTAACAGGAATGATAGTAACAGTGTAGTTTGTATCAGTAAGAGGTAGTCCAGTAATGGTAATAATAGCATTAGCTGTATTGCTGTTGAATATGATATTGTTTGATGTACTGTATACATTAATAATGTAATACTGAATAGGAGGGACTGGTGTAGTAGAATCCTATTTTAATAAATGATAATAAATATTAGTAATATCTTAACATACTTCATTGTTATTCCACCATATTGTAATACTATCATTTGATATCTGATCCCAACTAATATTAACAACTTGAGCTGGTACTATAAGAAATACAATGAGTGTGTGTGTGTGTGTATAGTACTTACCATTCCATATATACTGTATTAATGATGAAGGAGGTCCTTCTCTTCCAATAGTATCAATAGGAATAATAATAAATGAATAATTAGTACCAATGATAAGAGAACTAATACTATACTCATTAGAAGGAGTATTAATAGCCACATAAAATGTGTCA